TTTTATTAATTATATATATATTTCGTAATATGTAAACTTAAATGATTTGTACATTTCGCGGTGCTATATGTAAATGTAAACCCTTGTTTTGACCTTAGTGCGAGCCAAGTCAATTGCTATGCTAGTTCTGGCTTATACACACACACATAAATACATACACATATATATATTCGACTATGTATTGCACGCATATTCCACAGAATAAAAAAAAAACACACACACATTAAATATTTATTGCATTAATATAAATATACATATAAATATACATATACACCATGTGTGACATAATATGACAAATGTTTAAACGAAAATGAAAATATACAAAAAGAGAAAAATTAAAAAAATATAAAGTAAACTGCGAAAAGACGAGATAAATGTTATCAATAAAGAAATATAGTTGACAATTCAAATCCCGCCCAGCATTTCAATTATTTATTTAGTTATTGTGTCCAGTTACAGCCGAAGGTTACGGAACAGGAAGAGTCCCAGCTCAATGGCTGGGCTGCCGGCTAAATGGGAATTTTGCGTCAATTGTCCGCGACACTTTCAAGATCAATGTGGACTCTATTAAAAATAGAGACGCACGAACGATGACAAACGCAGAGCCCGGCATGAATCACAATGAAACACACACAAAAGGCTGATCTACTCAGTGCCGATAATAACAACAAGACAGCGGACAAGCCCATAGAGCAACATTTGAATGTGATTCATGAACGACAGATCGACTAACAATATACCCTGTATGCGACTCTGAAGTAGGTTAAAAGTAAAATGTGTAAAATTTAATAGATCAGCTGAAAATAGTTTATCATGTGAGCCTGTTGAAATGATTTATGAGCGAATGATGGACTTAAATATTAGTAATAGGCTGACAAATAATACCTTCAGTTGTCTATAGATAGGATGAAAAACTGACAGACTATTTTATACCCCGCCTGAGTCTGGGAAGTAGCCAGCAAGTTAATTATGTAAATTAGATTGTTAGCCATGCACATGTCTTATCAAAAAGCGTATTGAAATTATGTATGGGCTGTATATATGATCGACTGATGTATACCCCGTAAATGTATTTGAAATAGCCTAGTACTATATAATCTTACATTAGATATGAATAAATACTGACAGTCCATTGAGCAATATGTGACTCTTCAATAAAGGAGTGACAGACGAAATATGTCAACCGTCGTATATGAGTAGCAAAAGTAATAGACTAATATTACATGTATACCCTGTATAAATTATATAAAAGTAAATGGGAAGTATCAAACATTTTCTGTCTACAGGGTGTATAATCAGAGCAGAATGAGAATAAGGCACAACACTTTCAAACTTTCAGCACTTTCAGCATGACAAACAGAGGCCACACACACACATACCAAATCACGCATAAAGTGGCGCGTGTGTGTGAGTGTGGGCGTATAGGCAAATTGGTTTTGGCTGACAGGTGGCGCTGCCAAAAGCTTGAGGGACTGGTGGAAGCGGAGGTAGGGGTAGGGGCACGTTAAGCTGCATGCGAAATGTAGAGCATTCGATAACTTTCTAAAAGCAAACGAATAAGCTGCGTTATCAAATTCTTACATCCGATTAGCATAATCGTGATCATGGAACAGATGCCATTCAATGCGAACCCATTAAAAACTGATTAATAAATAAAATATATAAATAAAATAAATAACAAAAGAAGCAAGAAATATGTTAGGAATAGAATAATTTTTAGATATATTATAGAGCAAGCAGCTCGCACGTAGGCATTAATAATCAAGCGAACTCGTTGTACTCCGAGAGCGATTAGAGTGGACCAAAAGCGCTGTTAATTATCACACATTTAATGAGTAGCGTAGGGCATATATCGACACAAAGATGTGTATATAAAGAGTGGCTAGCACATATATTTCGAGAAACCTGAAACAATATCAAACCTGATTGGCCCATAGTTGTTATGTTCGATATTGTTGTTGCTTTTATTGCTGATGATGCGCATTAAAAAAGCTCAAAACTCTCAGTGAACGCAACTCAAATAGCAAGATACATATGAATACACACCGATATACATATATTAAGCACAGGCAAAAAACCCATTGTCGACTCATTAACAGTGCGGAATTAACTGAGTCGTCAGTTGGCACCGTCTGCTTAAGAAGCGCAGTTCAGCTCCGACATAGACAATGTCTCTCCTAGGCTCCGTCACATGCGTAAGTTCAGCGTTTCATTATGGAGTCGTTGCAGTTGTGACATTTCTCAAATCTCAAATCTTCATCTCCGTCTGCATATTTTACACAGTTGATGCTGCTGGCTGTCTGGAGCCTGCAGCAAGTGCAGCTCTTGCAGGCGGCTCCGGGCATCGAGAATGCGTATGTATAAATGGTTGACAGTCTTGGCTGGCCGGTCCGAACGTTTTTTTTTTTCCACTCGCAGCGCCTATATCAATCAGGATTTATGGGCGGAGGAATCAGCGCCWGCAGAAGCAGCAGCAGCAGTAAAGCGCCCAAGACGCTACAATGTGGATGGATCGGTGCACTGCGGCAGGCATGGCAAACATTGGCCTGGACATGGATTCGGTCAGGGATTTGCTCATGGATATGAACCGGGCTATGGCTTTGGTTATTGGAGTGGCTTCGGATTCGGATATGGTCATGGTTATGATCGTGGGCATGGTCGTGGGCGTGGATATGGTCATGGCTATGGGCATGGGTATGGACCCGGTCACGGTCCCAACTTTGGCTTTGGATTTACTGGCTATGGTAACGACGATAATCATCAGGGCGAGCCGCAGTATAAAGTTCCTTTGGCGCCTTTCAATGGTGAGTCCAAGTGCATGACATTGACAATTTGTAATATCATCTTATTTATGCGCCTATAGAAAACCAGCAAGAGTCCGCAGAGCTCACCTCAAGCACAAGCAGTTTAGCACCGCCAACGAGCAGACAGACAACAGCGGCGCCTGCAACCACAGCAGCCACAACCACTGAGGATTCTACTTTGGCCATTGACTTACGCAGCGGACTTAGCTAAGTGTATGCACTCGGAGAAATAATTGGATATAACTGGAATCGAATTTGAATTCTGATTTGATATTCAGTTAAGTATCAGATATTTCTCATGTGAAAAAAAACCTAGAATTAGATAAAAAATAATTTTAAGAATTTGCATACTTCTAATAAACTTTATAGTGTTATTCAATTAATTTGTATATTGTAAGAATTTTCGCAAATCAAAAAATGTTGTTTCTATTTGTACGTTGTATATAAATCTCCCCTATTTCTCCAAGTGCATTTAAAGGAATATCATCTCTGTCAACTTATCAGCTCATGAACGCTGGGCCAATGAACTCCTTTTCCATTTGACTTACGCACTTTCATGGCAGGATGAGCAGCGGAAGTGTTATCCGAAACGAGTTTATCCATTTGTCCATTTGTTATTCTAGAGCATAAACAATTCCGCCTCAATCAGATCACACAGATCACAGATCGCATAAAAAGCGTGTGCAAAACAAAACAGAACAAAACAAAACATAAAACAAATGGAAAGAAAGTCGAGAGATCGCGAATTGAGCACAGCTTCAGACAACAGTCGAAATCCAAACCGAAATCCATAAGCAAAACAACCCACAAATCTCTGCCTCTCACGCACTTTGGTCAGGAACAAAGAGGCTCGTTCGCTCCAAGAACCGGACCAGAACGTCAACGCCAGCGCCAGCGTCGACGCCACAATCCACAATCCAGAAGCCACCTATAAAAGCACCGCTCGATCCGAGTTTGACTGTCATTTGATGCCAAACGAGCGCCGCATCAAGTCATCGTCGTCGTCGTYGTCGTCTTCGTATATCCCCGTTCCAGTTCGTATAATCGTATAATCGAGTATTACTGCCGAGTTTGTAGCATTAAGAAATGGGTAAGGCTCGCTCTGCATACTAAGTGATTGTCGCGATCTAAGCGTATACAATATATATTTATACATACATAGGGGTATATACATTCTTATATATATATACTCTTCACATATTCGGTGAATGAACTCGCATATATTTCGTCGCAAGTCTCGGATCATGTGCAGCATTATGGTCACATAGCCTTAGCACGCCCAAAAACTCGGATGCATCCAGTGCTTTCGTCATGTACGCGTCGTTATTTATGCATGCACGTCGCGTGGATCTTGAAAAACAAGTCGTAACATCGTTACTAACATTTCGGAGAATGTGCTCGATGCGCTATTAAATATCAAAATATCATATTAAGTGGCTAAACGATCCCTTGTCGCAGGGTGCTCGAAGATCGCATATATTCATTTCGATGAGCTCGGACGAAAGAAAGCACCGAAGACAGATGCAAAACTAAACAAATTTATTCTTATTGGGTGAACTATTTTTAGCTAATTGAGCTGTTCATTCTATTTATACTTTTGCATTTGGATGATATTATTTCGTCAGTCAATTTGCTATTCATTCACTTAGACTGCAGACTGTAGACTAGATTAGATTATGTAGATACTCCGAGCGTTAGCCTTCAATAAAATTGGGAAATTTGGAAAGGAAGCTTACAAGAAATATGATTCTATACAGAAATGATGAAGGCAGAAAAATTCGGATTAAATCGACTATATACATACGTATATTTACATATATCTTTCCTGAAGGCGTGTCGCAGATTTCTATATATGTATGTGTGTTTATAATAAATGTTTTGGTCTGCATAGTAAACGCTTCACCACACCTCCTGAATGAGGTAAAAATTTAGGTATTTCAAGAAGACATATTAATTTTATAATTGTTTTTTTTATTTTTTTTATTTATTACTAAATGCTTGTATCATACAACTGTTATATATTCGAAATTATATAAAATATAATATAAAATTTAAACAATAATTTAAAATAATATTCATCTCTTAGAAACCTAATCCTAACATAATTTAACTCAATTGTTTTTCTCTATAATTAAAATATTTTTCCCTCATCCAATATATTTTGCTGGCAGTGCAACATCATCTCATGTTGCTGCTGCTGCTCCTGCTGGGCGTGCCGAGCCTCATCCTGGCCAGTGAGCAGCCAGCGCGCATTGTCTGCTACTTCAGCAACTGGGCCGTCTATCGTCCAGGCATTGGACGTTACGGACTGGAGGATGTGCCCGCCGATCTGTGCACGCATCTGGTGTACTCCTTCATTGGCGTGAATGATGAGAACTGGGAGGTGCTGGTCATAGATCCCGAACTGGATGTGGAGCAGGAGGGCTTCCGCAAGTTCACGCAGCTGCGGCAGACGCATCCCAAGCTCAAGCTCCAGATAGCGGTGGGTGGCTGGGCGGAGGGCGGTTCCAAGTATTCGCGAATGGCAGCGGTACGCGAGAAACGCCAAAGCTTCATACGCAGCGTGGTGCAGTTCATGAAGGAGTACGACTTTGATGGCTTCGACCTGGACTGGGAGTATCCGGGTGCCACGGATCGCGGCGGCAGCTACGGAGACAAGGACAAGTTCTTGTACTTTGTGCAGGAGCTGCGACGCGCCTTCAATCGCGAGGGTCGTGGCTGGGAGATCACCATGGCGGTGCCGGTGGCCAAGTTCCGGCTGCAAGAAGGCTACCATGTGCCCGAGCTGTGCGAGTAAGTGGCTGACTGTAGCCAACTGAGATAGTCTATCTAATCTCTGTCGCATTTTGAATCTCCTATAGACTCCTGGATGCCATACATGCCATGACCTATGACCTGCGCGGCAATTGGGCCGGCTTCGCGGATGTGCATAGTCCGCTTTACAAGCGCAAGCATGATCAGTATGCCTACGAGCGACTCAATGTGGTAAGTGGGAGGGGAATAGAGCGACAGTGAGAGAGAGAGAGAGAGAGGCGAGCTAATGAGCATTGCCTTTGTAGAATGACGGCCTGGCCTTGTGGGAGGAGATGGGCTGTCCGGCCAACAAGCTGGTGGTGGGCGTGCCCTTCTACGGACGCACCTTTACGCTGAGCAACTCGAACAAGAACTACAACATGGGCACCTACATCAACAAGGAGGCGGGCGGCGGTGCTCCAGGGCCCTACACGAATGCGAGCGGTTTCCTGGCCTACTACGAAATCTGCACAGAGGTCATGGACAAGTCGAAGGGCTGGACCGTGGAGTGGGACGATGTGGGCATGGTGCCCTACACCTACAAGGACACCCAGTGGGTGGGCTACGAGAACGAGGCCTCGGTGCAGATCAAAATGGACTTCATCAAGGCCAAGGGCTACGCGGGCGCCATGACTTGGGCCATTGACATGGACGACTTCCATGGGCTCTGCGGCCCTAAGAATGGCCTAATGCAAATACTCTACAACAACATGCGGCACTACACAGTGCCGGAGCCGACGCGCGAGACGACGCCGCGGGTAAGTGGGCCAGCTGCCAAGTGTGCGACAGCAGCACAGTGAAAGCTAATGAGCAATTTGCTTTGCAGCCCGAATGGGCCAAGCCACCCGCCACACCGCCCAATCCGGACGAGGCGCAGCTGCAGCCGATGGCCACGACGACGCGTAAACCGAAACCGAAGCCAAAACCAACGTCAACGCCAGTCAGCCCAACGTCAGCACCGGTGCCAGCTGTGAGCAGCACCACCAAGAAACCCACCACAAAGGTGCCCACATAGAAGACTATAGACCACTATTTATATTTACGAATTTCATTAACATTCTCTTTTCTTTTTTTTAGAAACCCAAGAAGCCCAAGAAGACAACCACAACGACCACCACAACCACAACCGCTGCGCCCAGCTCTACGGAAGAACCCGAGGAGATCGTCGATCCCGAAACAGAAGAGAACGGCGTTGCCTTCGATGCCAGCGAAATTGACTGCACCAACCGAGACTTTGTGCCGCATCCCAACTGCCGAAAGGTAAGGATTTGAGTTAAGGATTTAGGGAATGCCGGGGTAGCATGGAATGACAGATTGGTAGTATAAGAAAGGAGTAATAGAATATGCTGTGAACTGAAATTTATAAAGGCATTTTAACTCGACAATGCAGGTCGCATTGAAGAAGACCAAGAATATTAATTCCTAATTATTCATAGAGTTATACTAATTACCGAAGTATATCTAAATATATCACAATTTTATTATGCCTAAAATATTTACTTACTACATACATATGCATATTTAAATATTTCCTCTCTTCTATCTAGTACTTCCGCTGCGTGCATGGCAAGCCCGTGGAATTTGAGTGTAAAGAGGGCACAGCTTTCCACACAGTGCTCAACGTTTGCGATTGGATCGAGAATAGCGATCGGTACTACTGCACTCGCATCAAGAACAAAGATCATGGAAATGAGGCACAGTAGTGCCGCAGCTTGGAGGGATTTTCTTTACAAATCTGAAACTATTTAAAAACTATTTATTATGTTAGCTGAGGTAAATATTTTTAGCGCTCAGTGAGAGTGAACAATAGATCTTAGGTCTTCTGAGTATTTATAATAAAATAGCCTTCATATATTGAAATGATAAATTGTATTACTTTTGCCCAGACGAAAGCAATAAAAATTGAATATAACATAAAATTTGCATTAAATGAGCCAGAAATCATTATATATACATACACATATAGTCCAGATTAAAAGTAAGAAACAATATATATATGAATAAAATATCATTATATTAAAAATAAAACAAAATCTTTTGCTGGTAAAAAAAGGTATGATAACATTGGACTGCATTTAATTATATAATCTGCCGTTCGATGTCATAGCTCTATAAAAATATAATTATGGGAGACTTTAAAGCATTTTGCAGTTGTCTGAATCGATGCGTCGCCTTGGAACCGAACCACACATCCAACAGCTGTTCGTGCAATCAAGCATATTAATGAACGGTGATAAATGCTACAAGAAATTTAATTTTCATATTTTACAACTGAATTCCCACGGTGTAGCGCGAGAGCGGCCAAATGGGAGAGCAAGAGAGACAGAGACTGCACCATATTTAATCATTTGTGACAAGAAATAAATCGCAGCGCTCTAAATAGCGGATAATACAAGATTTATATGGGTGAATGTGCCAGCTTTCACTCTACAT